AAGCTCAGCAGAGTGACTTGACAGGTTTTTTAAAGCACTGGAGAACTTGAGCAGGAAGTTTGCTGCCTTTCCTGCCCCTTGCTCTGCCTCGAGTCAGTGCAGAGCTGGTGCCATTCTAGCAATTAACAAAAAGGGGGCTGTTGTGGGTTCTGAGCACAGGTACCCACGGATAATCAGGTGTGTGAGAGTCAGCAAACCCTCTGCACGTGAGGGCTGACACCGGGGTGCTTTGTACTATTGCATTCAGACACCGTGTTCTGAGTGTCTTTGTTATTGTCGCCTGATAAATAAACAGCCCTAAAATTACAGAACTTATTATGGTAATTGAGTGAAGAAAAGGAAATGCAAACCCTGCCTCGCTATCTATTACATTGCCACTGCTAAAGTTGCCTAAACCTGTGCTACTCAAATGATATTGTAATATTAGCCTTCTTTCTTTTTTCACAATGATTGTTTTCTGTCCATCTCAAGCTGGATGTCAGTTCATTTAGATTTACATCAAGTAGTAAATTAAAATAATCACTCAGCAAACACTCTCAGCTCAGTTTTCTCTTTCAGTCAGGAGTTGCGAGAGATGCTTGAAGCATTCAAGCAGAAAATATTGCTGTCTAGATATTTGTCCTCTGGGTGATAAAGGAGGCATTGTCTTGGGACCCACTCAGGCCTCGGAGCTGATAGTAGCTGTGCATCACAGCTGTGAAGTGCGCTTTGTTATGTGTCTGAGGATTAGGGTTCAGGACCTTGTTTTTCTTGAAATACCAGACTGATCAGAGCTGCATATGTTCGGGGGAAAGCAGAGGTCGATGGTTCTCTGTCCACATTTTTACTAGATTATTTTTGGACAGAACTCTGGGAGAATACCCTGCAGCTTAAACCATCCCAAGAGTTTTTCATATTCTGCATTATAACCGTCGTGGAAAAAAAGGCTGTAGTTTATCTCTGCATCTGAAACAAAAGGCTCACAGCACCACAGGCACGCCAGGCTTTGGACCCACAGCCTCAATTCTGCTCCTTTGTGCTCCATTTCCAGTACAGCTGCCCAAATGCACCTTGATGTAATAACCAAATCCAAAGAATGTCTGGCCTTAAGGATGGCACAGAACGACAGTTAATCTTAAAGCAAGGGTGGCACTGGAGTGGTGCACAGAGCAAGGGCTTGGGGGGACAAAAAAAGCTGTTCCACAAAAAGAAAAAAAAAAAAAACAACCTGGATTTATTTTTTCTACTAAAAAAATTAATCTGCAGCTTTTTTTCCCACCCCAGCCAAAAACAAACAAAAAAACCCCCCACCCCAACCCCCCTAACCCAGCAGTATTTATTTTGGAAAAAAAGCTCTGTACAGAAGCACCCGTAGTGAAGATGCTGTGGTGAGGGAAGGCAGTACTTCCATTACAGTTGAGGTGTGAGTAAAGACTGCAGGATCTGGGCATGATGTGCTCAGCCTTGGGAGCAGCCTCCTCTTTGTGGCAGCACAATGTGGCAGTTTGTGGGACTGAGGATTTGGGGCCAGACTCTCATCTCCCTTACGTTGGTGTGATACCACAGGAGCCAGCTGGTTTTACTGATAAATAGACTACATGTGGCTCCTTTGTTGCAAGGGGATGTACATACAGACATTGCAGATTCACCTTTCAGTGTCAGTGTGAATCCCTCCCTTCAGGAACGGGACTCTGGTCAATAGGCAGAATGTTGCCCTTGAAATGATTAATGTTAATTGTAGATCCCCACCGATGGGGTGGAAGGGAGAACAGCGTTTGCCCATATGCAGTTTAGTGGCTGAGGATTGGTTGCAAGTGTTTCTTTGCTTGAAAACGTCAGTGGGCACAACTTTTGACCCCCATCGAGCTTCTGCGTAAATTCTGAGAGTCACCCGTTATTTTCAAAACTGGGCCTTCCCTTCTTCCACCCCTGCCCAGCACTGGGCCTGCACATCCTGCTATGCCTTCCAGTCAGTGGGGTGGCTCAGGTGCCCCTCTCTCCATGGGAAGGTGAGCTTGGAACTGTGCTCCGGGGCACCTGGGAGGGGATTTGGGACAGTAACTTGAGCTTAGGGGCTTTCATGAATGCCAGTCGACCAAACAGCTGCTGGACACGTTCTTACCAGCCCAGTCTTCTTGTGGATGCATTGTCATTCAGAGGAGCTGTGTAATCATTGTTTGAATTAAGCTCCAGGCTCCCAGCATAGATTTGTGTTCTCATCCTCTGTGCTGCTTGGACATCCTCCTGCCCTGCTGCCCTGACGTACTCCTCTCCTGAAGGTTTCTGTGCATGGACCAAAGCAGTGCCACGTGGAGGGGAGGAGATGATTCCTTGTTTCTTCATCCTCTGCCTGGCAGAAGTGATTTGCTGCAGTTGTGCCTGCAGAAAACTGGCATCATGTGAAGGCATTTATCACTGGAGATATGCGATAGCAAACCTTCAAAAAATCATGGAGTAGCAGTCAGTGTGTCCTTTGTTTATAAGTAGTCTTTTATATGTAGGGATTTTCCCTCACTTCTGCTTCCTTCTTTCTTAGGAAATGACCACAGGGTACTGACCTGTGCTTTTGTGCTCAGAGAAATCCTCTCTCTCTCTGTTTCGTTTGTCCTCTGCCTTTTCTTACATTTTTCTCAATAGTTTTTTTTTTTTTTAAATACAATTTGGTTTTCTTTTCTCGTGCTTTGAAAAGGTGTGGTGTACCCTTCCTCACTCATGCCAGCACAACTATCCATCAGTCCCTTTTCTCCTCAAGTTGTTGCTACTGTTGGGGTTCCTTTATTATTACATCTTCCATGCATTTTACCCTTCTATCCTAAACCAGTTTTATGTTTTGTTTATCTGTCTCATACTTACCTTCTTCCTATATCCTGGCAAAATATATTAGAGGTGCCACTTACTTTTCCTCTCTGATCCCGCTCCACAGCCCTCAGAAACAACAGAAAGGGGAATCCTCTTGTTAACTGCATTAAAAAAAAAAAAAAAAAAAAAAAAAAGAAAGACAATTTCCTGAATGAAGGAAAAACAAAACCTGCCAGGGCAGAAGGCACCTGCAGCCTCCAGCTCCTCGTGCAAACTCACATCTGGGAGGCAGAAACCTTCCCCTCCTGGTATCTGTACCCTGCATGAGAGAGGGGCCGAGGTATTTCAGAGTGTAAAGTGTCATGCCAGTAATTAAAGGATCTTGGTGGATTTATATCAGCTGAAAATCAAGTCTCAGAGTTTTATGTGATTTGGGTTCTTGGTGGAAAGAAGTACAAGCATTCACACGGGCCTATCATGACACTGAATTATTTGAAGGATACGTTGTTTCCTAGATCTCTCAGTACCAAAATGAACGTGCAGTTGCTGAAATTATCAGAATATTGACATAAAGCCCGATGCAAAATGAGACACTGCTGTCCGTGAGTGGGGTGGTTTGGGGTTTTTTGCTGCTGTCACCAGTCACTGCCATCAGAGCCCCGCAGAAAACGCGGCAGTGGAAGGGGGAATTCCCCCAGTTCTGTGCAGTGGGAAAAAAAAAAAGAAAACAAAACAAAAAAAGGGAGATAATTTCCTGACTGCAGGAAAAGAACTACTGGGGTAGAAGGTTACCAAGGCCTCTGTCTCCTTGTGTGTAGCTGAAGAGAGTATTCAGAGAGTTCAAACACAAGTAGGAGATCTCTGAGTGCAGGAAACAAGCAACGTAGCACGAGGTGAGAGAATTAAGCACAGAGCAGGAGGGCAGTTACCCCGTGTGCATCCACCCCAGCAAGGGAGGTATCCAGCAAATCCTTGAAAGGGATGTCTTACAAAAGCTTCATTATAAGCCCTTGCTAATTTGAGAACTGTCAGGAATGGCAGTATTATTTTCCACTCAGCTGTTGGGATCTGTGTGTGTGTGTGTATCTGATTAAATGGCACCTTCCAAAAAAACTTGAGCAGTCCCTGATAAAGCCTTTGTACAGTGCCTGGCAGAAGGGCACCACTTGAACATAAACAAGTGATTTTTTAATGTCTTTGTTACGTAACAAAGTATTGTGGCTGCCATGGTGGGACGTGAGTGACTGTGCCTGTTTGCTGCCATAAAGGCTGTGGATTCACAGCAGGACAACCCATTCCTGGTGCCTTCCTGCTGGAGAGGGGCTGAGGTCCACAAAGATCTCTGAAAGTACTTCTAGGTCAACATTAGGAAATACTGGAAGTATGCAAATCGTAGGGAAAAATGAGTGTCTTGCCTTTGAAGTTTTCCTCCCTCTAACAACACAGATATTGTCTCGATGCTCTCCTGGAACTTGCCTGGTGGCAGTGGGATCTCACAGTGGGTTCCCTTTTGCATGGGAAGTCAGGTTTCTGACAGCACCGTGCATATTCCACACTAAAAGGGCATCTCAAAAGGCAGACTTGGTTGCAGCTGCTACCTGGAAATCCAGAGGCCATTGTTTTCCTTATTTCATCTGTTGCTAGTCAGCTGGAAAGCACAGTGACCTATGAGTAATGTGGTCATCCCCAACTCATGCTGATAAAACCTTTACACTGCTGCCTCTTGCCATCTCTCCTTCCCTATCTCTCTGAGATGTTCTGATCCAATCTTGACTTCCTTTGAGGTAGGGCATTCTGTCTTAATGCCCTAACCCCCTTGGAGAGCCAGAGAGAAATGATTTTGAGATGTTTTTTTTGTTGTGCCTTTGCCTGATAGAGTTGTCTGCAGGGCTTTTATACCAGTGAGAGAGGATGTGGCTCTGTGGCCCTAACCCAGGGGCCCTTTAGGACACTGCTCCTCTCAATTAGTGGCTGCCTTTGAAGGCAGAGCAGGAGAATTTCCAAATCCCAAAATATCAGTTTGGTCCCGTGGACAGCAAACCACCAAGTGCAGCCTAGAGCAACTTAAAAGTTGGGAGGTAGCAAATCTCAGTTGCTCTTTGTTCCTTCCACCTTCTTGGCAGTGCTGCCCATATCCTGGCTGCCACATGTCACTTGGAATATTTGTAATTCCCTGAGTTTGTTTGTGCCACTAATAAAAGTTTCTTGCTTTCTCTTTACAGATCAGCATGCTGGATTTTATGGAGGATTTCTACAGCTGAGGGATAACTGTGAATTTCCAGGTAATTGGCATTTCTTCTGCTTTTTTCATGAGCTGCCCTGGGTGTTGTGACCTTTTCTTTGATTTTAGGCTGCAGTCCTCTCTCCTAATCCCCTAAACTGGGCACCTCATGATCAGACTGTTGTTCTGAGTTGCATCTTAAGAGTTACTCTGAAATGCAAGGTGAAGGAAGTTCTGGTTACCCCCTCAGAATCCAGCTCTCCTGGATTCTCTCCTGTCCCACCAGTAGAGTTGGACCAGAAACCCCTGACTGCCAGTTCATATCTGAGGGGGTTTGCTTGCACTTTATAACGGGATAAACAGCTGAACATTTGCTGGATAAAGAGCTGTCTTCCTGACTGTATGATCCTGCCAGAACTTACTGTGCTTAGTGGTGGAACTCAACTTTCTTGTCCCGAGACCAACACTCTCACTCTCTGAGTGGACACAGACCTCCTCTATTTCTCACCTTTTGAAAGGGCTGAGGTTTACTGTGGATTTCTGTAGTAGATTTTAAACTGTTCCGTGCTTACATTAGCTTTGTAATGTAATGAGAAACTCCCAAGTCAGGTAAGGAAGTGCTACAGGGGGGACCTGCAGAAGAGTGTTGGGTGTGATGGTTTGAGAACCACGATGTCACAATAACATGAAACCTCAGTCCTGCTGCGGGGCCAAGCCCGTGGCAGTAGCTTTGTGCAGTGCCTGACAGGGTTGTTGAAGATGCAGCTTTAGGAGCCCCATAAAAGCAGAGTGTTTTTCAGCTTGGCACCCGTCCATCCTCGTTATGATAATGTCGGCATTGGGAGCTCCTTGGGGCAGGACTGTGGCTTTCCCTCTGTCTTGAGACTCTCCAAGATTGTGGCCAGCATTCTGTGAACCAAAGCTAATAAATCAAAGCCAGTTTTTCCTCATGCGCTTCAAAACCTACTCCATTTTGGAACGAGAAAACCACGTACAGCTCACTGCAGGCTTTGTCAAATTATTCCTCCCCTTCACACTTGGACTCTTCTTCATTTTCCACACACTTAATACTCACCCAGCTCCTTTCTGTAACTGGCAGCTGATCCAATTACACACTAGAGGTAGAAATACTGAAGTCTTACAGTTCAAATGTGGAATGATATGCATAGTCACTTTGTCACTCAAATCCTTAAAAAAAAAAAAAAAAAAAAAAAGGAGGAGGAAAGAAAACTCAGACTAGCTGGCCATAATCAAGGGCAGAAAATAGAGCACACAGTTAACATGTCCCTGGTTTGCCAATGCTGGGATGTCACAAGTACCAGTCAGGAAGCCAGAGCCATGTGGCTTCCCAGATAAAAACGCTGGCTTTTTACTTCTGGGGCTACAGTTCAAATCCAGCTTAAGGTTCTAAATTAAATAAGACCCTTAACCTATGCCAAAACATGGGATCCCTCCAGGTCAGAGCCGAGGTTATTGGCAGGTCAGTGTGATTAAGCCTGTGTTCCATTGCCTTCAGCCCCCTTAATGGCATAAATAAAGGAATTAAGGCCCAGACCCTGCCCCAGTGCCGAGCAGTGTGTGAGCACCGGCACCCAGGCACAGAGACCTGGACAAAGGAGCACTGGAATTCTCTGGAACAGGAAGGTGGGCAGGGTGGGATCACTGCACTGTAGGTCTCACTGCTTTCTGCAGTGAGGTACTTGGTGGGAATGGACTCACCTGCTGCTTGGGGCAGCAGCAGCTCAAAGGCAGCAGAATTTGGGGTCAGGTGGGTGGTGCTGCCTTCTCCCTGTTTTCTGGGCTCCCTGATCCACCTTCCATGGCACCAGCAGTGCAGAACTGTAGGCACAGTCACCTGTGGGATCCCAGTGGCACCATCAGCGTATGCAGCTCTTGGACTGTGTAAGGCACGTGAGCAAAGTTCGTTGTTGGAAAGGATCCCAGGCACTTGGTGGGGATAATAATGAAGGCCTGACAATGATGACCCTCTTTGAATTAGAGGTAGAGTCAGGATGGAGCCATCTGGTAGCAAACAGGTACCCCCTTGCTTGCACTGCGCCGTTTGACTGCTGTGTGTGTGGGCAGGCCTGCTTCCAGAATCGCATCTTTGGAGAAGTCTGGTTCAGATTCTCGGCTGGTTCTTTGCTCAGGGAGCATTTTGCATTCAGCAGAACAGGCTTGTAAAACTGCAGAGCAGCAGCAAAGGAACTACAGCACTACCAAAACCGTAGGAACCTTCAAAGCCTCCAAGCTCCTCCAGCTCCCACCAGAGAGCTCAAGATGAGAATCCCACATGACAGAAAACAAGCAATAATTAAAAATCCCGATTTTGCCCAAAGAATTCCTTTGTTCAAGGTATGTAAATGTCTTCGGCTGCTTGTAAGTTATTTCATTTTTGATAGTTCCTTAGCTCGGTAATCTGAGCTTGGGAATAGAGGAGTCTGAAAGGAGTGTTACTCTGAAACAAAACACCTGTCTTTCAGTCAAGACTAAATTGACAAGCAACAATTTAGTTGTCTAAACTCAGAGCTTTCAGGATTTCAGACTGCATAAATGTCAAGATGCCTAGGTAGGGCTCAAAGGTGAGCGACAGTGTAGGCAAATATACATTGGAACTTCAATTATCCAACCCCTGATCACTCTCAGTTACCTGAAGTTTAAGCATGTCTTCCTTCACTCTTGATTTCTACATTTTTCTGTGGAAACCCTTTGTACTGAGTCACCTCTGTCTCTGCCCAGCAGAGTCTGTAAACTTTTAAGAACTCGTCTCCTGAGGAGCTTAGCGTGTCTGCCAGATCACAGCATCGGCAACCCCTCTCTGACAGAGCCTGTAATTATCCCTTCATGTTACCAGCTACATTGGGATAGAAGAATTAAAATAAATAAATCACTGTTTTCATCTTTGTTGTCTCCAGCTCCGCTTTCCCAGGGGGGTGGTGTCAGTGAGGCACCTTCTTCCTCATACAGTGTTGTTGTACCTGCATGGAAATGCCTTCCATAAATGATCCCTTGTAGGGACATCATGTCCCCTCATGAGCAGCCAGATGGACTTCGCTAGTTAGCAAAATTCACCATTAGTAGTTTGGATTTCAGGGACCAAAATCTTTCTTTCCTTGTTCTCCCCTGACATCTTTGACATTGACTGATATCCAAGAGCCAAATATGCCTTGATTTCCACAATTTTGAGTCTTAAAAAGACCATCAGAGAAATTTTGCTTTGCATCTCGCTGACTTCAGCACTTTTTCTCAATACATCCCAGTGACTTTTGAGGGGGTTTGTTGTGATTTGATCTCAGGGAGGTACCAGGTCACATTTGCAGGTCCCTGCACTAACTGTAGAACTAAATCAAACAGCTTTGAGTGGCAGAAGAAAATGGCTGGCAGGAAGGTATGTGAGGCCTCTTCACCTTCTTCAGCACTGTTTTATTTTCCAGCCTTATTTTCACCCCATCCTTGGCTTTCATTTGCCACTTCAGGTTTCTCCCAGCGCTTCCTGATATCTTCTGTTCTCCTCTCTATGGCGAGTTGTGAAGGGAGTCCCTCTCCTTTTCTCCTTGCTGTTCAGCAAGTTTTCCTCTTTATCCTTCAGGGGAGGAATCTAAAACCGAGACAGGATAGGAGATTTTTGTTTCATCCCCAAAGAGCATCTGAATAAGCCAGGCCCTCCTGTGAGATGAGGGGTGGCAAGCGCTAATCTGGGCTGTGGTCCCTTTCCAGGGACACGCTCCGTGCTGGCACTGGGGGATAAAAGCTGCTGTGCAAGTGCTGCCTGCTCTGCAGTGGAGGATTTTTGGGTAGAATGAGCCCCCTGAACAATAAACCAGCCCCCCTGAGGAAGAAAAAGGGGATTTCAGGCCAGGTCAGGCAACGTCTGCCTTCCCCTTAGCTGAAGGCAAAGAGCTTGATCCTACCAGAACAAATGGCATAAGACATGGAGGATCCAGTGTTGCACAGGAAAATGAAATCCTTTTCTCCGTTGAAAGCAGAGTTGCACAACTGAACTGGAAGGCAAAATGCAATCCAGTCATCTGTTGCTTTCGGAATGGGAAGAAAACAAAATTAAATGGGGATATTAAATTGTAAGTTTTGTGGATAAAAAAGGAATCTTATTCCCCTGGCAGGAAACTAAGGACCAGGCAGTGCCCATTTCGATATTTAGGAAGTTCTAGTGTCTTAGGTGTTTCCTGGCCATCAAAAATTGAAATAAATTAAAGTTGCACTTTAATTGAATTACACAATGACATCAATTTAAACATTAGTAAACAGATGCAATTCTGTGCAACGCTTTAAATTGCGTTTTCTCACATATGCATTTAATTTAAATTTATTGAGATGGTTATTTATGTTAATAAAATAATTAAAAGCAGTTATTTAAGACTAACTATGAAATAGCTGTGTAACTACCTATATTAATAAGACAGTTAGTTAAGGGATAATGTCTATTGCTTTATGGTGTAATTGCAATAAACAGCTGCTGAGTTTGATTAAGAGCTGAAGTGGAGCTAAAGTGTTTGAGCAATCTCAAAAGCTATTTGTTGTAAGTGTACTACAAAGCAACGGCGATTATTCCTATTATACAAAAAGCCATAGCATAAACGTTAAAATATAACACAGAAGTGTGGTGCTTTTTTCTTGGGTGATCCAAGCATGTGGATAGTGGGCCTGGGGAAGGAAGGCTGGGGCTTTAGTGGAGAAGAGGTTGAGGGGGCAGTAATTTTGCTGAACGGTTTTTGCTCATACCCAGATTCTCAGCCCTGTGTGAGTTACACCTGAGTGGTAGGAGGGGCACGGTCTGTGCTTGTGAACTGCGTTTCCTCAGGGGTGGCATCATTTGAAAATCTTTAGCTGGATCCCTTTGAAATTTTATAGAAAATTTTCCACCTTGGCTCCAGGTCTGACCTAGGAATTTCTTCAGCTTTTTGTTGGCATATAAAGAGGGAGAGTCGAGCCTGTAGTAAAAACCCTTCTGCAACTGTGACCATGAAATGGCTGCTGCCACTCCATAACTCCATCATTAACTCATGAAGCAGACACTTCCTGGTCCCCAGGCATGTCCTGCTT